TTTTTACTGAATTTTAGTAATGCCGAGGAATTTCCAGTTAAAAATATGGAATTTCGGTGATATTCTGAAAAATTACCATGTAATAACATAAAATTTCAATATATTTCGATGAATTTTTAAGAAATTACTTGAAACTTCATTGATATTCCCAGAAATTCCTGGCTATTAAAAGAGAGTTTCAGTGAAATTCCGAAAAATTCTTATGAAAATAAATTAAATTTTGAAAATTCCTTGAAGTTTCATTGGACTTTCGAGAAATTTTCGGTTATGAACGTGGATATTCTCATAAAATTTTAGTGAATTCCGAGAAATTTTCAAGAAATTACATGAAATGTCAATGAAATTCCAAAGAATTTTATGAAAATTTTGTGTAATTCCAGGATATTTCAGTAGTAAAATTTTGAGGAATTTTAGTAAAATAAAAAAAAAAAAAAATATGGAATTTCGAAATTGAAATCATAGTGGAATTTCATGGAATCCTATACTGTAATTAGCCTCCTCACTTGAAATAGTCACGAGCCGCCACTGCCAAGGTCTCTAACTTGATTCTTGTAATTTAAGTTCACATTATTCATGATGTAGTTTGAATGATATTTCTTATTACCTGTAAAAAAGCTAATATAATAGTAGATTATACCACGAGTCAATAATGATAGCTATTATTCCCGAGGAATATTTACGAACTGAGCCGCGTCAGCGGCGAGGGAGTAACATTCCGAGGGAATAATAGCCATTATTGCGAGTAGTATACTCTACTTTATTTACGACAAATTAATTTATTTGAGATTTTCAATGAACAAATTTCATCCGTCTCATAATTTTCAATACAAATCCACAAGCACTACACGTTTGACACTGACACTTTTGTGGAATAATGACCATTAATCCCGCTACTCGTCATTAATCCCTGGAGGAATAACATATGTCATTATACTGCCAAAATCACAAATATAATACGCACATTATACATTAGTCGTAAATCAATCAATCAATCAATCAATTAGTCGTAAATAAAAACATTTATTTACGACTTATGTATAATGTGCGTATTATATTTGTGATTTTGGCAGTATAATGACATATGTTATTCCTCCAGGGATTAATGACGAGTAGCGGGATTAATGGTCATTATTCCACAAAAGTGTCAGTGTCAAACGTGTAAGTGCTTGTGGATTTGTATTGAAAATTATGAGACGGATGAAATTTGTTCATTGAAAATCTCAAATAAATTAATTTGTCGTAAATAAAGTAGAGTATACTACTCGCAATAATGGCTATTATTCCCTCGGAATGTTACTCCCTCGCGGCTCAGTTCGTAATAATCCTCGGGAATGATAGCTATCATTATTGACTCGTGGTATAATCTACTATTATCTATGTTTAATGAAAGGTTATTGGTCTGACACCAATTCCAGAGTGTATTAATATCTTTTTGTAATATTTCTATGTCGGCGAGACTCCCTATACATCTTTATAATTTAAGGTCATCTGCAAAGAGTAAGACTAATGATTCCAGGTTATCACAAATATCATTTATAAAAAGATTAAAGAGCAAAGGTGAACAATGGCCCCCTTGAGGTACACCTGATAAAACCTCAATTGTTTTTGACAGAAAATTACTCTTTGTTTCCGATCCTTAAGAAATCTTGATATCCAATCCATGGCTTGCTTGGTAAATCCTACATTGCCCAACTTCACAATCAGAAGGTCAAAATTGACTCTGTCAATGGCCTTGGAGAAGTCAGTGTAGACTGAGTCCACTTGCGAAAATAACTGGCGAGTCCTAGGAACTGTCGGTGTTGGAAAATCTCGTACAGATTCAATCTTTTCGGAATCCAGGTTTGATTCCTTAATATAGGAAATTTCATGTCCTAGATAACTTATTTGACGCAAGAGAAATCTACATTTATTAAAACGTAATGTCATATTGGCTTCACGTAGGAGTTTTAGAACATTTTCTAAATTCGTGAATCCATTTTTTTTCGTCCGTTGACGGTATCAAAATATCATCTAAGTACGCCATAGCTGTAGTGTATAACGTAAAGAGCCTAGAATTTTATGAATTGCCATCTGAAAGACTGCAGGCGCATTTACGACACCAAATGGCATAATTACATAGGTACTAGTGATGGCGATCAGGGGTTATAAAAGCTGTCTTTTCGATAGGAATCGAGGCAACTGGCACCTGATGATATTCAGAAGCAAGATCTAGACTAGTAAAAGTATCGAGCACCTTTGAGCCCATCCAGTAAATCATCAATGCGCGGCAGAGGATATTTATCCCTAATAAGTTTTAACGTTCAAAGCCCGATAATCTACGCACATACGCGATTCGCCGTTCTTTTTGCGCACCAATAAAATTGGACTGGCATAAAGAGAAGAAGATTCCCTGATGATATTAATGTCAAGTACCTACCTAATTCTCGAACTAAGTCTCTAACTTTTTCTCGCTCAGCGAAGGCTAAACGATATGGTCGATAAGTAACAGGTGTTTTGTCATTCAAATCAATGTAAATTTCAGCAATATATGAGTTTTCCCTAGTTCAGACATACTTGTTGCAAAACATTACCTATCTGTATTTCTTAAGCAAAGAAAGAAGTTGAATTTTTGTGCCTGTATCAATGTCAGTCCTGAAAACATTTTCTAAATCTTCTAAAGAAAAATCTCTTATAGATTCTTGATTTATGGAACAAACATTAACTTATTTCATCAAAATCACTTTCAGGATTACACAGTAACTCTCGTGCTATACTACTCGATCTTTTTCATACTCTGATGTGTTTAGAATCGGCACTAAACCACTACTCTTTGACAGATCGGTGATAAAACGAGGTATCACATGAAACTGATTAGACCACGGCCTTTGTTGCAAATTAATAAATACTTCTTTGACATTTTCACTAGAATGAGGAAATGTGACCGATATGGTTGGGTGGTATGACAGTAGTCTCCTTCGCCCATAAAATAATTTTACGAGGAGACAAATTATCAAGTTCTGGAAGTGGCATATTATTCGAAATAAAAAGCCTAACCTTACCTCCACGTGTCACCATGATTATATTTGGATGATTAATAAAATGCTATCCCACAATTATTGAAACATTTTGTGCATTATCGGGTACAACAAGAGCTTCAACTTTTGCTTTAGTCAGATCAACAGTTAGATCAATGACAACTTTATGGTTTACAATTAAAGAACCTCCTGCAAATCCACTCACTTCTGTACAGGATGTAGTTGTAACCCTAAAGCTTCGACGTCAGATGCACGTAAAGTAACGACACTACTGCCGGAATCGACATATCCCCGTAAAATATTCTGATTTATAGAGCAATCGATAAAGTAACATACATTTGATAAAGATTGTGAGGCTTTCGCGGCCCAGATTTATTGATGAGGGGTTTTCAGTGGGGACTAATGGCCGTCGTAAGCAACTTACGACGGCCATTAGGCCCCAATGAAAACCCCTCATCAATAACATACATTTGTCTCACAATTATTTTGAGCAGTTTCTAATTAAAAATAGGTATAGACTTACCAGGTTTGTAGAAGTTTTGCTTTGGGCAATTCTTTCCTTCGTGTCCCAATCACTTACATTATCTACATTGCTTCCTAGGCTTCGAACATTTCGAAGCTGCCCCCGTTGACCACAATTGAAACACTTTGTTTCAAATTTATTCTGCTTATTTCTTATGTGGTTTCTTAAATCTGAAGACCCTGTTGGCAATTCCACTTGTTCTTTTTGTTCTGGATAAACATGGATATTTAGAGCTGACAAGTATTCTTTGTATAATATAGGTTTTCTGGGTTTTGGTAACGTCCAGCTCTGGCACTATTGTAAATAACTGGATCATCTATCCCATGTATAAGGCAAGAAACTGCGTTTTTTTCCAGAAACGCGGCAGCTTCTTAGGAGTTCCATCTTTGCAAAATAGTATGATGTCATCGATTCAGATACCATTTTCTTTCGATTCAGCATTGTTTGAAGAAGGGTCGCATAATCAGTATGGTCTGGAAAATAACGCTTAAGAAGAGTTTTCCATTCTTCCCAAGTCAAATTGTAGTCTGTGGTACCATGTCTTTGCCATGCCCACCAATCTTGACTGCATGTGGTAAATTTATTGTTGTAATCTCGTCCCAATGGTTAATGGCTTTTAATTGATCAATCTTGGAAAGCCACTGTCATGAAGTCAAATTATCGTTTTCTGGGGAGAATTCAGGTATACAGTCACTTTTAAGAGTTAATCTAGTTACTTCAGTCCAATTGATTATGTTCTTCTAGTTAATTGTTTGACCATATTCTCATCCAACCTTTAGATTCGTTCCTGTGTTGTCTCAACATTGGTTTCTTCGGTAGAATTCGAAATACAGGGATATGTAGCTCACGTTGCTGTTGAGACACCTGAGCCTCAACAACTCGAGACCTTACATAATTTCCTGAAGTTGGATGATCCGGTTCTGGACGTATCCCTGATTCTAGCGAGTATGTTCTGACGCTTCTGCAAACAGGTGATTCTGAACGTTTTCTTGAATCATTCTTGTGTGTTATAGAATGAGAGCACCGCAATTTAGAACGTCTGTTAGTTAGTATCATCAGGCGATTTGGAACGTCTTCATAAATCTTGTGAACATGAACCTTGCCCTCGTGATTTCTTATTTCTATAATGTTGAACGTCGCTATCTCTATCGCTCTCAGAATCCGAGCTCAACGCCAACCAGACAAAGAAAAGGTAACATAAACACTTCCAGGGGTGCTTTCAAGCATGTGAAGAAAAGCTGGTGGAAGCAAAGAAACCCCTCATCGCTTGGAACTATATTTTCATTTTTCGCTTACATAAGCAAAAAATTCTGAACCTCAGCTCCAGAAAATAATGCTCCTGATACGCACAACCAAGTTCTAGTTCCCTTCAATACTAGAGATTTTGTTCAAGAATTTTCTATGCAGGTAATATTCAATATTTAAGTTTTCAAAGAAGCACACTAGTTTTTATTATTTATTTTTTATTTAACACTATATATACATAATTAACACGAACTTACAAAAAATGGTAATTTACTGAGGAGGATTAAATCTTTTATAACACGTTGATAAGGACAAATCCTAGAAATATCTACAATGAAATATTGTTGATAAACTAGTTGAAGGTGGATGATCAAATAATGAAATGACCACAAATAAATTTGAAGAAGTAAACAGTAACAATTTTTCTTTAAATTACGTAAAAAAATATGAACCAACAACAACAAAGTCTCTTAAATCACATTTCAACTTTCCTCCTTATTTTTTTTGAGCCCCAAGGACTTTAATAAAGCCTTATGCGAAGGATCTCTACCTCTAAACTCCCTAAATATTTGACTAGAATGCTGGCTACCTCCCAAAGCCAAAAACGTGTCCCTATACCTCTTCCCGACATCCTTAATTTGTTGCTCATCGTCTCTGACTTCGTAAAACGCGCTATACACATCGGCCGCCAACATTCTCGACCATAAATGTGAATAATAAGCCGCGCCCCATTCTTCCAAAAATATTTCAGTGAATTGACAAGGATGAGCGTCTATTTTCCATTCGTATTTGAAATGTTTGTATTGGGGCCACAAACGTCTTGCGATATCCAGCCAAAAGTCGTTTGACGAATAAAGCTCCAAATCTAGAGCGCACAGATAGAGTTCGTTGGATAAATCCAGACCAGCCATGTGGTTTTGAGCCTTGCAAAGATTGTCGAAGATTGATTTGGGAAGTTTATCACCGCTACCATAGTGTGAAGATATACTTGCAATTACGTCTCTGTAAAAGATTTGAGAAAAATATTATTTGGAAGAAACAATTGAATTCAATCCCTAAATCAATTTCCTCAAAAACAAAAATTGGATGTTCCAGGATGTCATTTGTGTTTCCTTCCTTTCGATTCAATATTTCTAAATTAGTAACTGACAAAAAGGCACTAAAATGAGCCACCAAACTGGCAACAGCAACATGAATTTCCCTCAATGTTTTTTCCTGGGAGAACTTATTGATTGATTTCAAACACTTGTCAAACAATCATTAAACTACTCAGAAGTAATTGAAATAGTTGCTATTATAAAATTACTCACTCATTAAACAGCCAATGGGTCAACATATTCCCGCTAGTCCCCACAGCATCCCATTCTACATTAGAAAGTCCAGCAACTTCCGCATAAAAAGTCCTTGTCAGCAAGTGTTGCATAGAATGGCCAAATTTTTTGAACAAAATTTTGACTTCTGCAAAAAAAAATTAAAAAATGCATAAGATTGGGATGGGATTTTGCATGGAAAGGTTACCTTTGAAGCTCAAATGCGACTGTTTATCCCCAGTTGGTGGTTCAAAATTAAAAATAAGCGCCGCCAGTGGCTTAGTGTCAGTAACTTGGCTTCTACTCTGCATGCCTACCATCCAACCAGAATTCTGTAATCTTATTTTGTCTTCGGACCTAGCATATGGATCAAAGTAGAATCCCGCCACTGGAGCTGAACTATGAGGTTCGAATATATCATAAAATCTAGAAAAATAATACAAATTAACATTGAACTATAATGGAATAAAGCCAAATATTACCTCACATCCTTATGCCAGGTGCTAACTCCGCTTCTAGCTTTTATAATAATATTAAACAATTTTTCACAAAGCTGAAACAGCCCATCCAAAACGGTATTTAACGGGAAAAAATCTTTTAGGTCATTATCACTGTAATGATACAAATGTTTTTGTTGCTTTCTTCTCCAATAGGGTACATCCCATAATTCTAACCTAAAGTACAGTTTATAGGAATAATTTTAAAAAAGTTTGAAAAATTCATACTTATCAGTCTTGTAGCCTCTTTCATTGGCAAACTCTACCAAGCTTTGTAATTCTGCTTCTTGTGCAGGTCTGGCATATGCTAGTAGACGTCTTATAAATTGATCTACTTCTAGTCTACTGCCAGCCATTTTTGTTTCCATTGACATATCAACGTAAGTCTCATAACCTGATGGATAAAATTTGTGTTCACTCTCTTATCATGAGAAAATTGAAAAATATATGAGATAAGCATCAAATGAGTTTATAACTGATATGTTCATATTGAAGAAGAACATAAGGTGAACGATGAAGATAAACACTTCTCTAATTGCAGTGATGCTATTATGGTGTATCAGAGAATCTTGATGATCAGTTTTGATATTCATGTTTTCTTAACGGGTGCAGATTGTATCAAAAAGTGTATTTTTAACTTATTGAAAGCATGTTTGATCTGATCAGTTGATTGATTGATTAATTAATCTGAACAGGAGGCTGCAGAGTGTTTTTTACAGCAAGTCCAGATTGTTTTTACTAAACTTAGCCTTACAGATATTAAACTAACACTTCCAGTTGAATCCTACTCCAGAACAGAAATCAACACCATAAATTTCACCCTCGATTTCACCCCAGAAAAAGTAGAAATCGCCATTAGGTCCCTGTGCTAAGGGCCTAGACTTGATGAGATCCCTGCTATATTTCTTAAAAATTGTTTACTCCCTCTAAAGGAGACAAGGTTCAGTCTTGGGACCCTTGCTTTTCTGTATCCGTGTGCCTTATACCAAAAACTGAAAACCAAATATGAATCGCTTGCAGATGACACAAACCTTTCCTGTAATCCACTACTACAGTTTGCAGACCTCCAGGAAGACTTTTAGGTACACCATCAAAGAGTGGGCAATGTTTTCGAAAATGCCAATAAATGACCTCAAGTGCACATTTCTACGGCTGAAATAACCCTGAACAAGATTACCTACTCCAGCAAACGTCAATTAAAATAGTTTTGTGCTACAACGACCTAGGAATTACAATCACATCAGACTTGAAATGAAAACAACACAGCACTGAAATGACAAAAAAAGCCAATTCACTAATCTACCTCATTCAAAAATCTATTTGAGAAAAATGGTTCGCTCGAATACGCCCATTCTATCTGGAACCCATATTACATCAAGGGCATTGAACTGATTGAGAGAGTACAGCGCTGTATTACAAAGATTCCTAATGAACTCAAAGAGTTACCCTAAGAGAGCGGCCTTGCCCTTAACCAACTTATCCTAACTACATTAAAAGACAGAAGAACGAGGAAAGACCTTATTGAAACTTACAAAATATTGAAGAGTTACTATGCATGTGACATTAACTTCTTCCTCGCCACTAACACCACCAACACCAGAGTACATAACCAGGAACTTGAAAAGGAAAGATGTAGCAATTACTCAGAAGAAATTCCTCGACAGAGTGGTTTATCAGTGGAATAGACTAGTCATGAAACAATTAGTGCAACATCAGTAAGACAATTTGAAAACCATTCAGAAATGAGGGGCTGGCACAATACGTTTGTGTATTATGGCGTTTAGTTTGTGAACAAACGAACAAACTATGAAAAACTAAAAGACACGGTGGTCTCATCGGTTACCCACCCCCTACCACTGATATCCATAATAATACCATACCAGGAAAAAGTATAGTACTCACAAGATTTATTTACTTAAACCCAAATTTGATAATGACTAACTAAAAACCTTTTTTTCCTCGCTTTTTTCTAACTAATTTTCTTCACTAAGATTTCCATTTTTTTAAATGCTTTCTCACTACGTTTAAAACATAGCTGATAAGTACCATCCAATATTAAATTGAATGAATAATAACTTTTGTTGAGAAAATTTTGGCTTGATTTTCTCTGCTTTTCCATCCATAGACGCGTTTCGACCTATCAGGTCTCATCAGCATGGCTAGGAAAAGCAAAGAAAACCAAACCAAGTTTTGTGCCTGTAGGCAAAATACAAATAGTACAACGGTCGAAATTTGATAGTCAATAGTCAATCACTAAATTACAGCAAAAATTGCTGTTTAGTGTTAAATCTTTGTCTTAGATGGCGCCACGATCAAATTTCGACCATTGTAATAACTTTTGTATTCCTTACCAAGAATTTTTGCCATGTTACGTTTTACAAATCTAATTTCTTCCACATGTAAACTGGTAGCCAATTCACGTTCTCCACCAACTGAGCCCCTATTGGCGTTTGCCCTCCAAAGGATGCTTCTGATTTCGGGATCAGGACAGTGCTCCATTAATGGGCCATAAACTTGGGGTAACAATGTGAACTTCCAAGGGCCGCTCATGTATTTGTTTGGATTTATTGCAGTTGCCTACAATAGTTGAAATTATCACAGAAGAACATTTTGACTGAAAATTCTTACCTTCAATAAATCTTCAGGAAAATCACGTACAATATTGGGATCCCTTATCATCTGCGAATGTTGCTTTAAACCCAAATCAACCTTAACTTTAAACTGATTTTTCTCAGGAACCAATTTACCAAAATGATATGAATAAATGTCACTGTCCTTTTTATTTAGCTCTAACCCATTTAATTTACCTTCCAACACAAACTTTTGCAATATTCTATTTTCCTCTGTAGTCCTTTGTGTTTCTTTTAAAAACGCTTCTTTAATTGCAAAATGTATTTTTTTGCTAGTGTACTTTGCCGCTCTTGCTCGTCTACCTCTGTCATGTATAGCCATGTAACTCGATGTAGGCATTAATGTATTATTTCCTAGATACAGGGTCTTGGATAATCCCCAAGTAGTTTCCATGGGAATGCCCAGTTTTTCCATGGGTTGAATAATACTATCAAAGACATCCTCGTAATAATTCTCTTCTATTTCGCTCTCAATTTTTTGTATACCCAATTCAAACTCGAGGGCTTGTTTTGCAATAGCTGATCTGCAGTTTTCAATAGTGATTTCGTTAAATTTTGTCAGACCGTCGTTTTCGTACAGAGGATTCTTTTCTGGGGCTTCTTCTCCTATCTCTGGAAGCCTAAAATTATGATCAGAACTAGGTATAACAGGAACAACTACTGCTACAATCAGGGTTGGCAAACAATTTTCTGTACTCTTTGGTTTTTGGATGGATATTGGCAGTGTGTCCGCTTAAGTTCGCAGCACATGGGAAACTTTTTTATTATCAATTTTACGAGAAAAAGTTATTCTTTATAAAAGTTTCTGCTTCTCGAAAAAATAATATTGAACTACTAAAACTTGAAATAGCATATACAGGGTGGTGAAAAATAGAAAAATATATAGGGTCTTTCCTAAGTACGGTTCGTAACTTCAGGATGTGATTCCTCACAATATTTTAAGAAAAAAAGTTTCCATAAACATGTGTCCGGAAGTGCATAGTTTCTGAGATACAGGGTGTAAAAGTTTTAGAAAAAAATCCTATTTTTTAGCTAAAAAATCCATTTTCTTTTTTTTTCAAATTTGGCAGGTCTGTTTGTGATAACGAAAGGTATCTTTTGACCTCGCTTTTGACTTTAATACGACTTGCTGAATCTGAAAAAAATTACAAAGGTTTTGAAAAATAGTGACGTGCCATTTTTTTTTTCTACTTTTACCGTTTTTTATCAAAAAATTCTGTATATTTTTCTATTTTTTGACCACCCTGTACATGCTATTCCAAGTTTTAGTAGTTTAATATTATTTTTTCGAGAAGCAGAAACTTTTATAAGGAATACCTAACTTCTTTTCGTAAAATTAATAATAAAAAAGTTTCCCATATGCTGCGAACTTAAGTGGACACACTGTATATTAACATAAATATCCACACAAAAATCCTACCAGAATAATTTATTTATTTATTGACGGGATTACCCCATTAATGTAATAGTTTTACAAAATTTAACAATAATCTTAAGGTTATTACCCAGCAATAGTATTAGTACTAACAACCAATGTAACTAAATTAGCAAAATTACAACAACAACAAAAATCCCTAGAAAAAGAATATAAATATATTTTTTATTTGCAACCATATATGTAATCTCGACATTACTGACTTTTTAAAAATTTGGAAGTGACACTTTACCTGTGTCACTTCCCTCTTCGATTTCCCTCACCGATTTCCCTATTCGACTTCCCTCACCGATTTCCCTCACTGTAATTTATTTACCTTTGCTGGCAACAATGAGAACATGTCAGGTAAAAACGTCAAAACAGGTGATTGACATATTTTGGCATGTTTGTTTTATTTTTTTAATGTTAAAAAAATTGAATGACTAATCATAATTAATGGTGTGCTTGCAAATAAAATAGTATACAAACCTCGGAGGAAAGTTTTCATTTCTGTCTCGAGATTAATAGTCAATCTCGACGCTTCGAGTCTTGATTGACTATATAAATCTCTCGACAGTAATGAAACACTTCCCTACTCGGTATGTAATATACTATTTTCACCCTATAATAGATTAGACTAATAAATCTACTTTTAGATATCCCTGTAACTTCCAAGCTGTGCTGATTAATTAAAGAAATATACCTGCACATGGGAGAGTTCAGACCAAAATCAGTTCTGTGATAATCAACAAAAAATAAATTGTTATGTCTGAGGTTTCTATTTGGAATGCGAAACTTAATTTGTTCTAGAAGCTGAGGACAGTCTATATTAAAATTTAGATCAAAAATGAAACGCATTCCAATTTTCAACCTTCGAAGCTCAAGAGAGTCCAAATTTAGCATATTGCGTATGTAGTCATATTCATGATCAAAAATTTGAACCCCCATGCGAAAAGCACAAAAACGCAAAAACCTGCTCTGAACTCTCTCTATTGAAACCTTATAAATTTGGTGATAAGGTGACCACACTATACAGTTATACTCTAACTTTGACCTTACTAAACTAGAATACACACACTTGGCAGAGGACACCGATAAATTCTTGCAGAATAATGTACAGGGTGCCAAGTTATAAAGTATCACCACCTGTAACTTTTTTACTTTTGATCGTACATAAACAGTTACAGATGGTTATAACTTGACCGAGGGGTTATTCACTGGGAAAAATGTGACAAGATTTCGGTTTTAGACCGATTTTGAGGGATTTCGGGTGATTTCGGAGGATTTCGGTAGAATTTCGGAAATATTTCGAGGGACTATTCACTGTGACAAGATTTCAGATTTAGAGCGATTTTGAGGGATATCAGTTGATTTTGAAGGATTTCAGGTGATTTTGGAGGATTTTGGGTGATTTCGAAGGATTTCGGGTGATTTCGGAGAATTTCAGCTGATTTCACAAATATTTTAATTTGATTTCAGACTGTACTTATCTTATAAGTAAGTATATTCGAAAGTGTATTAGTATAAACTGAAAAACGGCCGCGTTGACCGATTTAGGAATTTTGGGCCAATTGCGAGGGATTTTTGAGTCTGCAGAAATATTTCTGAGAGATTTCGGAGGGATTTCGGCGGATTTCGGAGTGATTTCGGTAGGATTTTGGAAAGATTTCGGGGATTTCGGACGAATTTGTGACACGATTTTGGGGTGTGAATAACCCCTCGAACTTCACCCCCAGTACAAGAAAAAAGAAACTCTTCACAAAAAAAAAGATATTGCCAATAAATGTTTAATGAAGGAGAGAGAAAATTAAAATAAAATTTCGAAACCCATAACTAATGCTCTTGAAGCACCGGAATGTTCTAGAAGCTATCAGAAATTTCCCAAATATTCTCAAGCGCTCTTTGATACTTCTAATTGAAATTCTAACATCTAAACGTGTTTTAGAGTGTTCTAATATGTTCATGAAATTTTTATGTAAATTCTAAAGTGTCATGTTAGTTTCCAGTTCTAGATTGTTTTCAAAAGTTCCATATGATTTGTGAGGCGTTCCAAAATACTCTTGGAAATTTTAACTTGGTTCTACACCTAAACTTTAAAGGATCTCAAGCTTTCTTAAATGTTCCCGAAAGTTCGGAACTGTTCTGTTCTGTTCTAGAATGTTTCAGTTCTTCTAGTGCTATAGCGTTTTACAATGTTCCTCCAAGTTCCAATTTGTCTCAAGTGCAGGAGGATTGAAAATTGAAAGCCTTCTGAAGCTTATCAAAATTCTAAATTTATTCTTATGTGCTCTAGAGCGTCTCAAAATGCTTAAAAATGTTCCAAATTGACAAGAGCACATTCTGAAGCTTTTCAAAATGATTTCTAAAGTTTTCAATTGGTTGCTAAATGCTCTTGAAGCAACGAAATGTTCTAGAAGTTATCAGAAATCTCCCAAAAATTCTTAAGTGCTTTTTGATACTTCTAATTGAAATTCTAAATAAATTCAGATATGTGTTACGAATGTTCTAATGAGTTCATGTAAGTTTTAGGTTAGTTCTAAAATGTCATGTAACAATTTTCAAGATATTCTGAAAGTTTGCAGTTCTAGATTGTTTCCAAAAGTTCCATAGAATTTTTAGAGTGTTCCTAAAGCTTTCTAAAATGTTGCCGAAAATCAGAAGTGTTCTGGTCTGTTCTAGAACGTTTCTGAAATTCTAAATTGGTTCTAAAGTGTTCTGTAACATTTTACAATGTTTTCAAAGACTTCAAGTTGTCTCAAACAATTGCAGGAGGATTGAAAATGGATTTGAAGGTCTTCTGAAGCTTATCAGAGTTCTACATTGATCTAGAGCGTCTTTAAAATGATTAAAAATGTTCTAATTTTTCAAAATGCTCAAATGCTCTTTGGTACCTATGTGCCAACAGTAATAGTCTTAAATGTTAATACAGAAAAAAAGGCCCAAACCTCGGCCCAAACCAAAGAGAATAGAACTTATTAAATGGACAAAATCCAAACAAAATAGGTAACCAAACTTTAAAAACATTGATAACTTACAAAATTATATATCCGTGCTGCAGCCGGCTCGATGTACTTAAAATACGTTGAGACAACAAGAATTTTCCGCAACGGGCTAATGCCATTTTAAATACTATTATTTATTGAATTCAAATTTTTTTAAAAGTTAAAAAATTATGAATGAAAAAGGCTAAACCTTAACCAAATGCTTGGATCAAAACATAACCTAAAAAGCACGAGTTGAGTGCAGCTTTCTGTCAAACATTTTCAGTGCAGGTTTTAGGTTTTATTTGTGTTGTTCGGAGCAGCACTTCCTGCTTTTGAACCCAAAATGGGAAACTGGTGCTGCACTTTTTGCCCAAGTGCAGTTCAGTTGCTCGACTCTGAAAGTCGTGCCGCACCAGTTTTTAGATTTGGAACCAATCAGAATCAATCCAAAAATGGAAAAATTCGCGAACAGCTAACTTGACGCTATGCTATGTCAAAACTAATTTACGCTCCATTTATCTGCAAAAACAGCAACTTCTAATAAGCTCAAGAATCTTTAGGGTAAATAAAAGGTAAACCAATTTGTAGATGACGTCATCACTTGTAAACGCGAGAAAATGGAAGGTTTGAACGTTTGAACCACAGTCTATGTCAACAGGGAACAAGCCATGAGTCCAGTTCGAATTTTTTTGAACCAGGTTCAATGTGACGTCACTGGTTCAACGCAAGAATGTACAGACTACAGACCAAAGGCAAAAGTGAAAAAAAAAATGGAAACTGGAACGTTGAAGAGTCACGGTTGACTGTTGTTTTCAAACAACAACACAAATCAGCTGTTCGACAATTTTGCTCCGACCGTTCACTCTAAACACTCATGTGACAAAAATCTGTTCTTACTCCACTCTAACTCCGTGCTGAATAGCCGAACCCAGCTCAGGGTAGTTTTAATGAGTTCCAAACTGGTTCGGAATGTGTTCCGTGAACAAGGCTAATTGATTCATCAAAGACAGCTGTCAATATTGTCAATAATTATTTCCATTTTTATTATCCTTCCATTCAGGAAAAAAATAATTGTAAAAAAGTGGTTGATAAACGTTGTCCCTTTAAAGCATTGCCAGTGCTTTAATTTTATTTAAATTTATTTAAAACATTTAGCAAATAATTATTGCTATTTCTCCACAATTAAGTGACTGACGCGAAGTTTCCGTAAACGAACTGAAAAACTTTGTGTTTGTTCATAAATAAACTGGAATGAGCGAGTGATTTTTACATGTTTACTGCGACTAGAAAATTATGGAAATATCCTGGAAATGGTTGAACCTGTACCTGGGACTATTGCTGGTGGGCCTTTGCAAAGGGTTCCCATTGAATTTGGAAGAAAATAGCGCGGGTGAGTCACCAACCGCTTTATAATGTTGTCTCCCACTTCTTGCAAAATAATACACTTTTACTTTTCTTCCATTAAATCTTTTATTACCTTGGCGAATTTTAACTTTTTTTATTGCTCACGAGGTACTTTACTGAAGGTAATTCCGATTTGGATGATTCAGGGTCTAAAATAAGATGTGAACTTTTATAACCACCAGAATCAGAATTTCATCTTTGGCTATTTACCATATTAATCAACAAGATTATCTAATGGGCTGACATAATATTTTTTTCCTAGATTTTATCTATAATAGGTATGCTAATTTTTTTATGAGTGCTCATCTGTACCTATCATGGCCTCTTAAGTTGTACCTAATAAAAAATCAAGATAATAATAATATAGGTACCTACTATGTAATTGAAATTGAGATTTTATTCATAATTTCCGACTTACAAGAATTAAAAATCTAAATCTAGGTAAGTACCAGGAGATTGTCTATATTTTGCACCCACACCTATCTCACCTGTTTGAAGGGATACCTAGAAATTGTTGTAGGTACCTAATATCAGAAACTTTGCAATGAAGTTAGTTTCTCAGTTAGTTACAAGTATACAGGGTGTGTCACAAAAGTGTGGCAAGGCAAAGCAAAGTTAAACTTTTTTAAATGGAATACCTCATCATATATTGGTCCTATTGGATTAGCCGAGGGGTCAACCACTTCCCGAAATACGTGTACAATTGGCCCGAATTACCTCCGAAATACTTCGAAGTACCTAGAAATACCGTGAAGTACGTCGAAATACCAGGTATTCCCATCGAAGTACAAGAAATCCCATGGAATTACCGTCGGAGTACCCGAAATACCCTCAAATTATCGCGCGAAGTCTCGCAATACTAAAAAAATTCTCGTTTATAATGATTCTTCTTGTGGATCATAGTGCGGAATTTTTGCTTGGATTTTTGTATCTTTTGATATGATGGATTATATTCGGACACACAAACAACCATTAAATCAATAGTTGCAGGAATAAGAATAAAACATTAACATAAGATAAAAACAGCTATCAGAATATCAGATATTTTCAACGGAATGATAAGTGTGACTTCTCCAAAAATCATACAAAAAACAGGCTGTTCCATTCAAAAAACTGCTCATCCATGGTGTAACTCTTTGGTTTTTGGTTCAAATGATTTTGCAGTATCATTTTTGAGTTCTCCAGAAAAAAATGTTCCAATTGGCTATTTTCAATGTTCTCAAAAATACAGGGAAAGTCAAAAATAATCCCCTGTTAGCCCCTGTTCAGTCCTCGTTGGATGACTGATGATCTTGTACTCTTAACAACTAAAGGGTCATTTACATCCACATAATTATTATTGAAATTAACGTACGGATTTCCTCAAGTTGAAGTTGGTTTAGTTTTCCGTGTGGTACGTTAATTTTCTTAATTTTTAAGTGGATGTAAACAACTACAGATAAGTATACATCATCATCAACTTTACTTTATTATTAATTTTCTGTATGTTAAGTTTTACTTTACTCTACTAATACTGATTACTGATACATATCAGGTAGTATATCTTTCCATTTGTTTCAATTAATCTGCAGAAAATCCAAATTATGTAAGCATATTTAGCCCTCGATTTAGCCTGTTCGAAGATGGACTATAATTTTCATTCCATAATATAATATTTCAATTTTGGGTGATAAAGAATTAATTATTCTCGGTGCATAAAAGAAATATTAATAATTTTAAATAGCGCGAAATAACTCGGCTTACTGCGAAATACTTCCGAATTACCTCGAAATACTTCGAATTATCTCGAAATACTTAGAATTATCTGCAAATATTTCAAAATACTCGGCAATACCACAAAAAACTAGGTTCGAATTACCACCACCGAAATACTTTGAATTTCGCGAAATACTTGCGAAATACCGACATTTTCGCAATACGTGTACACATTTTTACAGAGTGGTTGACCTCTCGGGATTAGCCTTTCAAGCCTGATTCCAAATATACTAGGTTTTTTAGGTTTATTTCTCATAGCCTGGACTCTGAAAATCCAATTTTGAAGAGATAATATGTATTTTATACTTGAATGATTACCTTTATATTTTGCTGATGGTCTCTATACTTCACATTTTTCAATAAAAATGCAATTATTCAACCTCTTTTTTTCTTATTTTCTCCCGGACTATTAAGAACTCGATTAAGACTTAACTTTAAAAACCTAGTATATTTGAAATCAGGAAGGAATCAGGTTTGAAAAGCTAATCCAATGGTTCAATAATATGCGGGGTATTCCATTTAAAAAAGTTCAACTTTGCCACACTTTTGTGACACACCCTGTATACTTATAACTAACTTCATTGGTTCGACTACATAGGAGCCAGATCAAATTTCAGAAGCCTTTGCACATCAGTTTGCATTAGTTTATGGATCTGGATCTGAGATCTCGATCACCCACTTGTTCTTATTTTGATATGGAAAATCACTTGGAAAATCATTTGCAATGGGGTAACTTTCCATTCTCATCCATATCTGAGAATACAATCAAAGATGCCATAAAAAAATTGAAGCCCAAAAAATCTACAGGTGAAGATAGTAGGGATGAAACTATTCTCTGTGATAATATTATGATCAATGTTCAAAATAGTATAGTAGCACAGCAGCATGGTTTCCTTTGTGGTAAATCAACTGTGACCAACCGGAGGATCAACCTTTCTGTATTTACATGTAAAGGTACGTTTTCGCTGGAGCGTCGAACGCCGCCGTTGACGGTGCCCACTGCTATTCATTTGATTCAATGAGTATGGTTTCTTAAGCGCGTCTCACCGCGACCGTCGTATTTACATTGAATCAAATGAATAGCAGTGGGCACCGTCAACGACGACCGTCGACGGCGGCGTTCGACGGCTCCAGCGAAAACGTACCTTTAAGGTAGGGTTTCGCTTGAGCGCTGAGAATATTTTATTTTATTTCATGTAAAATAAAATATTGAGTTTTTCGAAATTATCTATGACACGAGCTATGTATAGGTAGGTAGTTTATTTGAAAAGTTCTTACTTATATCTTTTTTTAGGATCACTCAAAACTTAAGTACCACTCGAGGTACCACTACAAATTTTTATTATCACAGAATACAAAGTGTACCTATTGTATTTTAAAACAATGAAAATTGGTACTCTTTTCAAGACTTTTTTATCTTAATAAATCCAAAATCCTAGGTGAGGTACTACTACTAGCCTAGTAGCCGAGCTAGTACCATAATTCAATCTTTTTTTTCTGTATATTGTCGGAAATCACATATTCACATCAATTGGCCTCCATTAAATTACCCCTAAGTTCTTTAATTATTGAACAATTTTCTTTAGTTTTATTCGTGCTTACAAATGTACAATGATTTCCATATTTGACAATCACTAATCAATGAATCTCATGTATTTCCATCCCAAGTATTGCGACTGATTGCCAATGATTTTCAGATATTTTTGTATGATTACCAGGTGATTTCCATTTTTTTCTGAGGATTCCTATATCATTCCCAATTGATTACCTGATTTCCTACAATCATCCGATTTCCAGCTGATTTTATTACGAAAAAGATATCTATTTGACTATTTATTAAGGTTTGCGTTGATGTGACCAAAATAAACAGTATTTTCTCTCATAAAAACATGTTTTCACTGAAAAATTTGCAACTTCTGTATTTGTACCTCTTCCAAAAGTTAGCAACTTTTATTTTCATGGTTGTCAACACACCCACACCCATTTTGCTGTAGGTATAAATAGTTGTTTAGTCCTAGATACCATTGCGTGTCCACACTGCATAATATAGATCTAAAATAATGGATGTTTCTTTGATTTCACTAGGATGTTCATCTGAATCAGAGACATCTTCAGTTGGGGTTTCACTCGACAAACTTAAATCTCAGTCTGATTCAGATGTGCTATCGTCTCTGCTTCTCGCACTGCCAAGTATTTATTATAATTTCCCTTTTCAAGCTCTTATTGCCTTGAATTCCCGATTTTTTCTTTTGTGTCTTCCTCAGGGACATTCCCATAGCTCTAAATACCCGATCGACAAACGTCCCTGCTTCTCTGAAAAGAACCAATTTAAAGTCGATCCCTGAGTAATCTCTTAATTGTAGCGAATCGCAGTTGCTAAACCCTGATGTGTGAAGAAATTCTGTGTTCTTTTCGCAGGTCAGAGAGATGTTTCAAGATTCATGTTTTAATTTATATGATCCACAGCATTGTCATTGTTGTTTGTTAACCATTTATCTTGTTTTATACTTTTTTTTAATTTGTAGTGTTTGTAATAGCTGTAGTAATGTAAGCTCTAGGCAGTAGATTTTATTAAATATAAGGCATCTCTTGCATGTTGTTATCAATATTATTTGATGTTTGTAAGATAACCAATAAAATAAAATAAAATAAAAATAAAATAAAAAAATAAAATACTTTAGGTCTGTTCTCAAAGAAATCACAAACCAGTCAGAGCGAATTTCATTGGTTGAAAATAGTCAGAAAACTGGTTGTTGACGATTTGCACCAATCAAAACGCTCTGACTAGTTTCTGATTTCTGTGAGAACAGACCTAATCTTCGTCTCCTTCTTTTTCTTCAAGTTCTAAACTCTTCGTAGTCTCAGGTTCGGTTATTGGCTCAGTTATTGGGAAACTCATTGGGATATCAAATCTAGCACTTTGTTGCCTAAAACATAGTCTTTAAGGCAAATACAGAACTGACATAGCGCTGTATCGTTTCAGAGTATAATATGGTTGCAATTGCCAATAGATTCCTATGTGATTCCCATGGAGTCCTAGGAGATTCCTAGGTTATTCCCAAGTGATTTCAATGTATTCCTGTAAGATTACTATGTGATTCCCAAAAAAATGTACAATTATTTACTAGTGGTTTACCTCTCGATATAATCAAAACGTAGAATCTGAAAATAAATTTAAAGAAAACTAAAGGTAGGATAAATAGCAATAAATAAATAGAGAATTTTACAGGGTTACAACAATAGGCTAAATTATTGAACTAGGGAAAAAAAATTGACAGTTAAAGATACCGAAACTAATGTTTTTAAAGAAAATTTTGGGAAATTAAAGTCAAGGGAAAATTGGAAAAGTTCGAGTTAGTGCTATATGTATAGTGATATATCCTGCACTAAGTTTTGTAAAATAGAGTGATGTGTATTAGGTATATTGAATAAAGACGTAAAAACGTGCCCTTGGTCTTCGTTGTGACGTTATTCTTTGACATTGACAAGCAGCGGAATTTACACAACTTTCTACCTGTTTTCCACCTCCCACCATTTCTGTTGATGACAACTGACATATATTTTTGAAAAATTAATGGTGAACGTTTCTTTTTTGTGTATTTTTTTATTTGCATTTGCGGTTGTTTAGTTCCAGTTTCAGGATATTAAATTTGTAATACAAATACCAATTTCAACCGTTTTCGAAATGTTTTGACCATAAACTGCCAAACAAACGTCAAAGGACTGTGACCCAGGACAACCAAGGGCATGACTACAGTATTTACCGGTCAAGCGAAAACCCCTTAAAATCTTCTATAAAATGGCGAATGACAGTTCGATGGCCATCAGTCAGTCAGTGTTACCAACTTCCGATAAGTAAAAAAGGAGTGTCACAAAGAGCTTCTTTTCGACACTACTTTTAGTGTCGAAAAGACTTCGATATGAAACCAAAATAGAAAATAGTACATTAAAATACAAGTTTCATAAGACGTGATTTTATCGCACGAGCCCTATATTAGAAAACGAGCCGGAGGCGAGTTTTCTAAAGGGCGAATGCGATAAAATGTCTTATGAAACGAATATTTTATACTATTTTTTCTATTTTGGTATTGTTTAATTAAAAAAAAAAAAAATTCTTGGAAATTTTATTCTCATATTTCCTGATTTCATAGTTTAGGTTGGTAACACTACATGCCAAATATAGAAATCTTCTATTATAAAATCGTGAATGACAGTTCGATGGCCATCAGTCCGCCAGTGTTACCAACCTCCGATAAGTAAAAAAGGAGTGTCACAAAGAGCTTCTTTTCGAAACTACTTTTAGTGTCGAAAAGACTTCGATATGACACCAAAATAGAAAATAGTACATTAAAATACAAGTTTCATAAGACGTCATTTTACCGCACGAGCCCTATATTAGAAAACGAGCCGGAGGCGAGTTTTCTAAAGGGCGAGTGCGATAAAATGTCTTATGAAACGAATATTTTATACTATTTTTTCTATTTTGGTATTGCTTAATTAAAAAAAACAAATTTTTCTTGGAAATTTTATTCTCATATTTCCTGATTTCATATGTTTAGGTTGGTAACACTGCATGCCAAATATAGAAATCTGCTATTATAAAATCGTGAATGACAGTTCGATGGCCATCAGTTAGCCAGTGTAACCAACCTCCGATAAGTAAAAAAGGAGTGTCACAAAGAGCTTCTTTTCGAAACTACTTTTAGTGTCGAAAAGACTTCGATATGACACCAAAATAGAAAAAATTTATTACAATGCTGAAGAAATTACAGTGGTTAAATGTGAAAAAATCTTGTTTGCATTTTAATATTTACAAAATTATTCATAATTTACGGAATTATATGACTCAAAATTTAGATAATCATGACTATCTTACCTGTAATAATACGATTTCTTGTTTAAATAATAATTTTTCGAAGAGTTGCATTTTGATTAATTTAATAAAAACCAAAAATATATTATCACCTTTTTATATTGTTTGTAGCAAATTGTTTGAATAAACGCATTTATTATTATTATTTATTTGTTTGGCATCAAAGTAGGGTGGCTGGGCTGAGGGGATTTTTCCCCCTTTAGTAATTTTTACAAGTATGGGGTGCTATTCAATTCTAACTCTTTTTGTATCACTTAGGTAATTGCACTTCTTCTTTGAAAAAGTCATTTTGATGCATTTACCACCCCTCCAAACCAGTTCATATGATACAAACTTTGTTGATATGTACTCATAGGTTTTTTTCACTTTGAGTTCCGGTTTTTTTCCAAAAATTACACTCCTTTTCACATTTTTTATGCATGGCGGAAATATTCCTCTATCTCCTCTATTTATTTTTTTCAAATGGCTTTACCATTGTTGGCCATATGCATTGAGAACAAATAAAACAATTAAGCCAATCAATCAGAATCTGATTTCAATAAAGGGATTACACAACAGCAGTGATGTGGAAATTGTCAGAGCAATTTTTATCGTATTCAATTGAAAATGGTTCTCTAGAATCTACTTTGAAGTGAATAAAAGTGTTGATTTTATTTAATGTACCAGCACAAAGTTTTAAACTAAAATCACAGCAATACTTTTCAAATTATTATATTTTCTGTCTAAAAAAGTTAGAACCCAATCAAAGATATCTTCTAGATGTATGGTTAATTTTATATATTAATTACGTATTTTTTTACAGGACATACTCAATTTCTGACATGTGTAGCTGCAATCCTCATTACAGTCGGCAGTATTGTATTGGTTGGGTGTCTTTGTTGCCAGAGAAGGAAAGGATTCGAGGTAATGTATCCAAAAATTTCAACGAACCTATAAAAATAATAAAAAGTTTATACTTAATTCGTGTGCAGATAATAAATTACCTTTGTATTTATTCTTCAATATTTCCAGGAACAATTTAAAAACATTTGTTTGGCACGCAATCGTAATTCATAATTATAGTTCTATCATTGAATTTTATGGATAATTAACCAGGTTATGATAATCTGATATTGTTTTATGGTTATGACTTACTGATTCCTCAGATTTTTATCAATTAAATATTAGAATAATAAATTTTATTATTTATAGGAAAATTAAATTATTAGTCTTTAGGTATAGAATGAATTAGTTTTAAATCCATCTATTTATTAGATTTTAGTTAAAAATATAGCAGACTCCTGCCAGGTATTTGGCAGATAATAAGCCGAGTGCAAAAATAAATATTTCAATTTTTAGCAGTTCCAGTTGGAAAGAATAATAATGATCTTTGATCTTCATGAAAATACACCTACATCAATTATTTTATTTTAGGATCACAATTTAAAATAAATTGATACCTACTTAATATTTCAATGCAAAGTATATAATTACATGTTTTTATCTGGAAGCTGTTATCAGTGTTTCATTAAATTTTGAAATGGTTATTTTATTTTTATAGACTGAAATTTTTTTTAATCAAAAGTAACAAAAACTTTTACAGCTCTAAAAAAGGCGTATTTTTAAAATTACTTTTGTTCTGGACTCTTTTGTCTTCCCTACAAAGCATCACGGGGGGGATTGATTTGTTATGTGGCAAAGGCAGTGTGTGTCTGGTCTGGCATTTTTATTAGTGTCCCATAGGGCTGGCTTCCTCCATTATTATTTCCAGCATTTCTTTAGAATTTTGGATGAGTGCATTCGAATTTTGTATTATTATTTGTCATGAATGAATTGAAATAATTTATTTATTTATTGAGCGTGGTACACTGCAGAGTTAAACTCCAAATGGCACTTAAAATAATAATGATAATAAAATTTGTACATAAAACAAAAATTAAACTTAAAACTACATCAATGTTAAAAACACATATAAGCTAACACAAACAATGATTACAATGAACACAAAGAACTGCGAAATAAAATAAATTAAAAACCAAAATGATGTGTGGAGACTAGCTGTGAACAAGTCGATTGCTGCATAGTGGACATTGCAGTTGCTCATCATGCGGTCAATAGATGCACCCTAGCCATAATAAGTTCGATGAGTAGCCACAAAAAAGAGTTGGGTTTGCCTGGTTTGTCAAATTGGCCCACGAAAACTGATTTTGGAAAGCAGAGTACTACAGGTTATTATCCCCAGTAGCAGCTGATCACGCCGTCTTTGCTCCAATGATTTCAGGCCACACAGGAGGAGCCTAATGCTGTGGTCGACGTTTTCATAGGGAAAGTGATGTTTGTACAGGAGGTATTTAGCAAATTTTGCCTGAACTCCTTCAATCCGTTGTTTGTGACAGTTGTAAAAAGGAGACCAGATCACGCTGCATTATTCAAGGATTCTGCGCACCAGACAGTTGTAAAGAGTGTGAAGCGCCTGGGTATCATCTAGATGCTTTGTATTACGCTTCTCAAAACCCAGCATCCTAAAACATCTGTAATATTTTCAATGGTGTTCTCAAAAGTTAAATTACTGTCAAAGATCACTCCCAAATCATTGTAAACGCCAACATGTTCCATAATCTGGCTTTCAATAGTGAAGCAAAAAGGCTGGACAGTCCGGTTCTTGAAAAATTGTATTGACTTAAACTTCTTGACGTTCAATTCCAAAAAATTGTTCCTGCACCATGCAACAAGCCAGTCAAAATCTTCTTGAAAGTTGACATGTGGACCCGTTTCCGAAAAACATTTGAGCTCATCGACGTACAGAAGAACCTGAGCGTTGTGGAAGCAGCTGGAACATCATTGACGAACAGGAGGAATAGTATTGGACCTATGTATGTGACCCCTGGGGAACACCGGATAGGACTTTAATTTTCCGGGATGCTGCTCTACCAGTAGAGTGGAAGCTAAGGCGTCATTCCATCTAGGAAATCAGTCTTCCTCCACCCTTATTTTGAAACACCCCCCCATTCTTCTACTAAACACCCCCCCATTTTAATCTTCTTTCATTCTTCTCCATTTCTAATTTCAACGTAGGTATATTTATTTAAAATCATCATTTATATTAATTTGCTTGCAGACAACAAAACTATAAAGAAGAACATCATAGCACCCTTCTACGAAAACTTGAAAATGAATTGTTGTTCCTCCATAGACCACTTTCTAGCTCATATGAGTGGTGAAGAAGTTGATTTAATTGTTCAATAAAAAAAATTTGAAGTTCCGAAACTGTTACCACTATTGATGAAGTCCAGGGCCGATCCTAGCAGGTGTGCAGCGCGTGCCCCGCACGCGGGCGGCCAAATCTAGGGGCGGCCGCAGGCCGCCTATAATTCTGTCATTCAAGATTCAAATAAAACTTTGAAAAACTCCTGAAAAATGAAAATAAACCCCGATCTCCTGATAGCATAAATAGAAAGTTTAGTGCACAGTCAATGTGTAGGCTCACACATAATGTCTTAATTCTGTACACATCCACCATAAGATCGCATAATTTTTTAAATTTCCTAAATACTTCTGCTTTGTTTTTTCAAAATGTTTATTTTTGTTCCCAATTCAAACAACTCATAGAAAACAAATATGTTGATACGTTGTTCCAAACAAGTTTTTTTTTTTAACTCTAAACGCACAAAAACTTTCATTTTGAGGCTCGAAATGAACGCTTTTGGGCGTGACACCCGAAATAAAATTTCTTCCTCCGGCAGCGCCTGCGGCGAGCTACCACCACCGGCACCTACGTAAGGGTGCTATATCTCTATGGGGCGGGGGCGGCGCAATTGTTCTTTGCACGCGGGCGGCCGATACCTTAGGATCGGCCCTGATGAAGTCAACATTTGTGCTTTGTTAATCAATCACTAAACTGATTGAACAACTTAATGAAAATCGTATGAAACCGGAGAGTGTGGTATACACTAGTCAAAGGAGGAGGAGAAAGGTGGAGCAGGGTATTTGGTAGGGTTGAGAGTGGGGTATGTGGTGGGGTTAGGAGTGGGGTAGGTAGTGGGGTTATGAGTGGGCTAGGTGGTGGGGTTAGGAGTTGGGTGGGTGGTGGGGTTGAGGTTGGGGGAAAGAATGATTCCCTAGGTGGAATGACGCCTTACCTTCCACTCTACTCCACTCACAGTACAATACTGCTTGCGCTTGCTAAAGTACGACTCAATCCAGCACCTCATAGAGCCTGAAATGCCTATCCTGGAGAGTTTCATAAGGAGCAGCTGATGACAGACCCTATCGAAAGCCTTTGATATATTGATGGAAACGGCGTCGACTGTGTGACCAGCTTCCAGTGAATGGACCAGGTAGTTTTGATAAACGGCCAGGCTTGTTGCTGTAGATCGACCCTGGTAAAAACCATGCTGCTCGTCCATTATGTGGTGCTTATATGTTTCGAAGATCTTCTCTGAAATGATGGCCTCTAGTAGTTTGGGGGATAGCTGATAATAGGGAAATTCCTCTGTAGTTGTGAACGTCGCCAGATTTGAAAATTGGGAAAATAGTTGATTTTTTCCAGCAGTCTGGAAAGTAACCCTGATTGAAAGGTCTTTGAAATAATTTGCACAGAAGTTTTGACATGGAACGGTGACATTTTTGAAGCAGCAGAGGGGGAATGCCATGGGGGACCTGGACCCTTGGAGCTGTCCAATTGCCTTAGCTTTGATTCGATATTATTTTCCAAGAAGTCATAGGAGGATAGGGTAGAGACAAAGGGTATGTTGAAATCTTCCTGGATCGGAGCTCCTTTGTAGTCTGCCGTGATCTCAACAGTTATCTCTCACTATTTCCGTCACACCAGTGTCAAGGGTAAGCTCGAGGGCTGGATGGTAAGGATCGCACTTGACCAAAGGATGGTTGCTTTGGTCAACTGAGTGAGTTTCGATGTTGTCAATTAGAATGTAGTCCAAGATCCTGCCCAAAGAATTTTTAACATGATTGACCTGTTGCAACTCCAAGTAATACATTGACTCAATGAAGGTTTCTTCAGCTAAGGTTCTCGATTGTGCTGGGGCCAGGAAGCATTCCTCAAGACCCCATTCTATATGGGAAAAGGTTGAAGTCCCCAACTATCAAAAACGCTGCTCTGTGATACCTGTTTTGAAGTACCTCAACCCTGTCCATAAATTCCTGTTATGTTTCGACAGCAGAGTTTGGGGCAATGTAGACGCAACCAACCACAACATCATATCCACGGAGAACAATGTGCACCCAAATATTTTTGGAGAGGGCAAGTGCAGGTGAATCAATTGCGGATGCATTGAGATCTGAAGATACCGCAACCAAGGATCACCCACCACGCCGAAGACCAACCATATCATAGTCTCGGTCATGACGAAACACTGTGTAGCCATTCCGAAAATATTCTCCGTTAAGCTGACCTGGAGACAGCCAAGTCTAAGCGAAATGACGTCATAGTTGCAGGCCTCAACTCCGTGTAAGAATTCCCTAGATTTCGTCCTCAAACCCCCGAAGTTTTGGTGAAATAACGTGAGGTCTTCTTTTGTTTGTCGGTGTCGATTGGACCTCACAGCATTTCTTTGGACTACGCTTGCAGGTCCATCATTGATAGGAGCGGGTACAAAATTTTACTAGATGCAATATTTGGGTGCAGATGTTCTGTTTCGATTTCTAATTCCGTCTAAATTCCTACCTCACGTCTCGAAGCCACGGTGTTACTTATTTCTCCAGGATGATTAATTTGTGTTGATTTCGATGCTACTTGTATAATATAGGTAGTTTTGGCAGATATATTTGGCCAATTCCCATTTGCCTTTATTAGTAATTTTTACATCTACAACATGGTATTGCTTCAGGATTTTGTTACTCTCCACGTAGGTGATATTTTTCAGGTTCTTAACACACCCTTCAGTCTTATTATTTTGATTAAGTATGAGTTTGTTGAGCGCTGTTTTTACCCTTTGCAAAAGGTGCTCCTACAATAAGGGTGTTAGTATGTTGCTACAAGGTAAACATCTTCTGGAACTGATCATTGGTTATGCTTTCTCCTTTCCTTGCATTCCCAGAACTGGTGAGTATAATTTTGTAGTCATATTTGTTAAAACGTTGAGACAATTTTTCATAGAGGTACGTTATATTTTCAAGAAGGCCGTTATCTGCATTTTGACAATTTGTATGGTACTTGTTTCTGGTTACTTGTTTGAAATTTTTTCCGTAGTTGAAAGTCGTTCCTACTGCCCATTATCAATATATCAGGTTTATTGTTATTACCGAGGTTATTACTAACCTTACCATTAACTGAGGTGGCAGTTTGATTATTTTGTTGTTTGTCGTTTTTTGGCTGTTTGTCGTTCGCTGCCTTACGTGCACTTCTGTTGCTTTCCTTCATACTCCCTGGCAAATGCTCCTCATTTTTCTTACTACCTACCAGACTCATTTGCTTCAGCTTTCCCTTCAACTCGTCCACACTCTCTCTGTATCAACACATTACTCGTGTAAAACTCTTTCTTTTCTGGCTTTTATCCTTTATTAGATATTCGAGTCGCTTTATTTGTCCTCTATATTCATTAATTTCCTCATCCCACACAGAAGTTCGTGTTTCCTTGTCCAGCATATTTATGGACAAGTCTGGTGGCGCAATGTCGGATTGTCTTACCAATTCTCTCGTGTATCTCTGATTGATTGATTTCCATAGATTTCGCGTCAATTTCAGCCTGCATTCTTTGATTCTGCAGTTCTTTTTCTTTTAGTGATTCTAACAGGCCTAGTTCCTTATCGGCGTACCGTCGCAACCGTTCTCCTGCCTCTCTCAGATTGATTTTTTCCATTTGTTTATTATATTGGATTTGTTTATCATAATAAATTAATAAAAACTTTCAATACAGGGTGTCCGAAATGAGTGCGCATTGTTATGATCGATATTTTAGTAGGACAATCACTTTTTGCATGGGGTACATGTGTCCGCAAACGTCTCGTTAGGAAAATACAGAGTGTTGAAATTTTTGGGGAAATTTTGACTTTTTGCCTTTAGATTCAAAAGCCTTGAGCGATTTTGTTCAATTTTTCAGAGATTGTTTGCGATCTTCTTGGAAAAGTGGAACTTAAACAGATTTTTAAGAAAGATATGCTCGAGAACATCGCAAACACTCTGAAAATTTGAGAAAAATCTCTCAAGACATTTTGGATCTAAAGGTAAAAAGTCAGAATTTTTCGAAAATTTCAACACTGTATTTTCTTAACGAGACTTTTGCGGACACATGTACCTAAGCAAAAAGTGATTTTCCTACTATACTCTATCTATCATAACTAAATCCGCACTTATTTCGGACTCACCGTGCTATTTTTTTCATTGAACGATAAATGCGAGATGTCGACCTTGTTTCGTTTTCGCTGGCCCACCCTGTATATATGAAGTAAGTTAGAAGCACATACAGATGCTCTGCATCTAGGTGCTGTTACATATAAAACCATTTACCATTTAGATACCTAATATAATAAGTATAGTCCGACAAATACCATTTTAAAGTCACGTGATTTTGGTGGCAAAAAAACGTATGTCCATTGATTATGTCGTTGATATCACCTACAAAAAGTTACTGGTGGTTAATAACTATTGAATTTTAAGATATGTTCCCACTAGCATTTTACAAACGCGTTTCTGAAGTAATATTAACCAATCAGATGGGAATTTTAATACTTGCAATTGTTGCGAGACTCACTTTTGACGCACCTGCTGCCCGTTGTAATTCATTCTGAACTTTAATTGACCTTTTGTTTCGACGCCATATTGCGGTGCGCGAACATAGTTGCCAAAACAAGAAAACCAAAAATTACTAGCGGGCTGTCAACTAGATATTTTATTATTTCTATTCTGCTCAATACAAGTTAAAATTGATGGTTTTTCTAATAGCGTAATAGGCGGTAAATTTAAATTTTAAATGTAATTTATTCATTAACTTTGGATTTTAAAGTTGACAGAACGCTAATAATTTTTTTTTCTACTGTTGGCAACTATGTTCGCGCACCGCAATATGGCGTCCAAACAAAAGGTCAATTAGGTGTTCGTTTTCTATTTGCTTCTTTTCGAGATAGAAAAAGGTTAATATATAGTTCATACCAAATAAACTTGTTGTTGTGACATCGATGACTCCATTTTTAAAATCGTTATCGCCAACCGTGAAAATATTCGGCGTCGGATTGACTTAATTGGAATTTGAATTTCCCGCTGGCCATTCAGTTGGTAACACCACTTCAAAAACTGTAACGTTGCCAAATTAAATTCTTGACATTTTGATTGCATTTTGGCAGTTTACGAGTTTTTTGTTTGTGCTATTAATTGTGACCTTGTTTTTTTAAATCAGCTTGTATTGCGAAGTGTACAAGATGCCGAAGCAGCTTAACAGCCGTTGCAAAGACTAATCGCATCCTTTTTACAATATTTCGAACGAGAACGCGATAATAATGGCCCTTTATGTCCCTTAAATGCTGTTAGGAAGGTGAGTTTACAAGTCGTTGATGTCGTGTGACCAAATACGAATTTTTAATTTGAACTTTCTCTCATTTTTAGCGCGTGGCAGAGGCTTTGAACTTAAGTATGTCCACTGTCTGTGCTATTTCGAAGGCAGTCAAAAATAACGAAGATTTGGAATCGTTTTCTAAGAAACGATGCACTTCGAATAAGAGAGTCTGTGATGTTTCGAAGCTCGATAGCAGTGCTATACATAACACTATTTACGATATGTGTATAAAAAGTAAATCGTTTGAGACAAAGGTACAGGGGATCCAGTATAAAGTGAACACCCCCTACCTTTTCGCTAAAAATTTTTTTATGTGCATATAGATATCTATGAATCGCCTTGTTTCTTCTTGTAGAATAACATGTAACATGATCCTGTATATGGGAGCAATTGAAAGACAAACAATTATTTGATGGCAGTCGCATGCCATTGAGTAGAATGGAAAAAAGATGACCCAAGACGAGGGCTCATGGAACTTCCCTGATATTGCTGTTAAACGCATATCATTTTTAAGGTCTTATCTAAGACTGAAACAGGAGGCTTTGTACCAGTTTGTTTCCTTGAACGAGACTTGGATTTTTCCAAAATGGTACTAGGTATTAACCGTGGGAAGACAACAACAAGCGAAGTGTTAAAACTACCAAAGTTGATGGTAAAAGGTTAATATAAACATGAAAACAGAGAGCAGTTGTATTATATGTACAAAGAAATGCTTTTTCTAGATATATCATACCTACTTCATGCTGGCACTGAAAATGGATTCATTGAAGGTACATCGCTTGTATTTTCATCGAAAACTCAACTTAACGACTATCATGAAGAATAGCATACATTTTTCCACTTATCAATATTGATGAAGACTTCAGCGATTTCAGTGATCCAGAATAATTGAAAATATTCTTGATGGTTCAAATATTCATAATATTTAATAAGATATTTATAGTATTTAGAGTGGCTGTAAATAAAATAGGTACTGAGCGTTATTATTATATTTTATGTGATGATTGACAAATGAGTTGTTATTAAATATCTATTAAACCAAGCTTTGAAGCAATGTTTACAATTTAAGTAATAAATGTTTGCATTATATTATAATACAATCCATTATTGTTTCTGAAAATATTTTGACCAAAGGAAAATATGGAAGAGACGGCAACGCTGTGACGGCTGAGCTTGACAACCCGACTATAAGTTTATTTGGTATGAACATAGTCGAAATTATTAGCTGTGTTTGTTCGTTGTATCATTTTCGAAAATAACTTTGACAAACTAATTGATGACAGTGACGGATTCGATTTCAGGTAAGAATTTTATGAACAATAGTTAGACACCAATTTTTTTGTCAATTCTACTATCACCGCTGTTTGAGATGTATTCAACAAGGATAGAGAAAAATCACGTGACTTTAAAATTGTATTTGTTGGACTATACCTAGTATATTTGTATCGTAAATTTATACCTTAATAAAGCATTTAACATAATAAAGCATTTAACATATTATTTTTTTATGATTTTTCAGTTTTTTGAGGTTAAAAAGTAAATAGAATCAGTAAATTACACCATACTCATTGCATCTTTAAAATGCAACAAAGCTTGTAAAATAATGACCTTTTTCTACGGTTCGTTTCTTCCTTAGAATGTCGGTTACTTTATACTTCCTCATTCATTTATTCTGCTTAGTTTGCAGTTACCTATTTCGATAATGTTCTTTTAACGGTTTTGTTTGAACTGCATGATGGTCACCTTGATCTATTCTGGGAAAAATCGAGTGTTTATGGTTCTCCAAAAATTGAAATGAAACAGAACTGACCTACATAAAGTTTATAGCTGGCAATGCAATCAAAATTTTACTACTTTCTGAAAATCTAATTGCAGGAAATTGTTGCTTATGAATTACGGAAACCGGTAAAAGCTTTTCCAGGTTAAATGAGGAAAATCAATTCACAAGATTGACTTGCTTTTAAATTGCTTTATAATTGGTTGAAGTCGTCAATAAAAATAAGACTTTCTTAGCATAAATATTTTATAATTTAGCCAGGTGCCTTTTGTGCAAGCTAAGAAAAGCAAGTTTAAATAGGTCAAGAGCCACCTTATCGCCGCTCAAGAGGGTAAAATATGAAATGTGAAACTTCCTTTTTATTTGTCTTTGTTTCCAAGAACAAAAATAAAGGTTTTATTTTTTTAACGATAACTGTAATAAGCCTGATGAGAAAACTAATGACTAAAAACTTTCTTTACTTGACGGAAATAAGTACCTATCATTGTGACTGAATAATATACTTTCTGGTTGATGGAAAAAAATGGCTGCCAATGCGAAACTTTATTAATCAATGTGACCTTATTTGTTGGAAGCAAAAGTCAATACTTACAAAGCTACAAAATATTCTTTTAAAGGTCATTCCTACCACCTATTTAGCTGTAGATTAAGTAATAGCTTAGTATTCAGTATATTAATAAACAGTTTCTGAAGATCCCAAAAAGAGGGCCATAAATTACAGAGATTTGAAAGTGAAAAAGGGAAATTTTCGGAAAAAAAATAGTTACCAGTAGGCATGTTCCTGAGACTCATGCAGTCGTTTATCTATTATTTTAGTGAAAGCCTTTGAATTAAGCAGGTCCAAGTCCAGGTCGCTGGCAAAAATATTAAAAAGGTTACACATTTAAATGGAATACCTTCTGTCTGGTGCCGTCCACATTTATGGCAAAGGGTAGCTTTGCAAGGAATTCTGGGCATTCTACTTGGTTTTTAAGGATTTTGAACATATAGGTCAGATATATATTTTTTCTTCTATTTTCTAGAGACAGCTTATTGAATAATTTTAACAGGGTGCAGTGAATGTATCCTTGTGGAGGATAGTACCCATATCTTTTAAGAAACATATCGCACCTCTAGAGAAACAAGATCATAAGTGCAAATTTGTAAAATTTCGAGGAAATGCTTTAAAGTTTCCAGAGCTTCTGCAACTCAAAACGAAAACAATAAACTATACATTTTCTGGCCAATTCAATTTTTATGAAGATTCTGTAATATGTATAGCACACCTTCAGTTTGCTTTTCAAATTCATTTAACAATTTTACCCTATTTAAAAGTTTTTAGGGCAGAGTCTCTTCACTTATGTCATTGTTGCCCTATGGCTAAGCTATTTTTTTTAATTAGGTGAATTAATTAATGACATAAATGAATGCATTTGCGTCTTTGTTGGTCCATCCGCCTCGCAAGTTTAATAAAGAAAACCTATACAAAATACATTTTTGTAGTAATTGCTTTCGAATGAATTACAAATTTATTTGTCATATTTACGTTTGTGCG